AGATGGTAGCGAATCTATACGAAAAACTATTGTGCCTCCTGATACAGCTGATTCTTGCCATGCTGCCGTCAAAAGTTAACTTTTGGTTTAGTAAGGGAATTGCTCTACAGCAGCTACAGCAAAGAAACTCTAAAGCACAGATCAAGCGGTATATTTACCTTCGCCGTTCTTAGTGAATATGTTATGTCAACAGAGACGAACACAGCTACCCATTCTTTACAAACATTTCGCCACAGAAAACAAAACACAAACTCTACGAAAAAAAAGTTTAGTAAATGGAGTCTTATCTTCCACTCTTGAAATGAACACCGAAGGCGAAAAGCCGTGTTTGCCGGTCTTTGTCGAAATCTACGTTCGATGCGGGCAGTTCTCCTTCGTAGGGCTGAACAGTACTCGCAAATTCCATTTGTTCTTTACTACTTGACTACGATGTGTCAGAACTCTCAGTAGAGCTTACTGAAGGTAATTATTAATCGATATGGGACATTATTTCAAGAGTATTTCAACGCTGACTGATACAGAATTACTAGAGAAGTGAGAGATTTGTAAGTGTCAACCGAGAGTTTTCACAGTTTTCTTTGTCATTACCTACTAACTACTTCTTAGCCTACGGTACACTTTAAAGACAAAATAAGAACACCTTGGGGCCCGAAAAAAAACTCAGTTTTTTTTTTAATTTTTTGTCCATTGGAATTGGTGTGAAGATATGATAAGCTAAAAAAGCACGCACAAAAAAAATCGTGTCATAGGGGTTAGCTCGAAAGCCTCATGGTTTCTCAATCCTCTGGGCCACAACAATGATTACCTATGCTTTCTTTTATATCGCTAATTAGTTATGAATAATTTTCTTATTTTATGGCAATTTCCTTTTTTCCGAGATATTTGTTTCACACAAAAAGACATTCCCCGCTCTGGGTTATTCCGACAATTCTGGTTTGTTTTAAGATATTCCGCCATTACGCTGATACACCGTTCATCCGTTCTATGAATCGGTTAAATAACTCAAAGTATCGCATTTCGCAGCATGCTCGCTTCCCATTAACATTTAGCGGCTTTTCTCGGCAAAAGTCGGTGATTCATACAATAAAATGCTCTCTTTTTAAAGAAATTCAAATTTCCTCAAGCTTTCATGATGAGCAGATCACATCTACTGAGATATTTCTGCTTGGAAAAGGTTTTTGATATAAATTATGCGTCAGTGGATGCCGCAATGAATTTGTTTTGAGATGTATATTGTCTTTTGTAGCGTCACGGAAAAAAACTGAAAAAAAAAGATTATTTGTTTAGATCTACATTATTTGCTGATTTAATGGTAAAATGCTCTGTCTTCGAAGAAAAGAATTTTTAAGTTCCATGATCCGCTGATATCAGGAAAAATGTTAGTTTTCTTGCGCGCATCATGAAATGATTGTGAGCGGTTTATCGTTTTCTGCTGTCTTCCGTGGCAAGGCAAGAACTAAAAGTACAATGTTTTAATGGCTAATACCAAAATACCAAAAGGAATGAAGTTAATCGTGTATCGAGTACGAATGTCGAACTACCAAGATACTCCGAAAATAGGTAGCACTGGTTCAAAAGTTGGCCAAGATCGGAATTCTATTGTTACACTCAATCACTCATCACGACAATATATGTAGCTTCGCTTCCTATAGAATTAAAAGCGGCATAACAAAAGTATAGATATCGACTAGATTTTAAGGTTTCGCCATCATATGCTTGCATAATCTTTTCCGTGCTGGTTTCGAGCTAACTGATTTTTTGACTCCTCTATAGCGAAATAATTGTGAAGTTTCTCGATTTTAAGGAAATTGTTAAGCTGAAGATTTCTAGGAATTAATCAAGTCCTTTATTTGCGACAGAAAAGGAAATTGAAGCTTGCTTGTAAGGTTTTAACTGAGGAATGGAATGAGGCATTTCCATCAAAAAGGTCCGTTCATATCCGTAGTCTTACTTTCAGCGCAACTTTTCAATATTAGCCACTTCAACAATATCTATGCATAATTAATGTTGTCGATTCGTTTTGTGCAGCAAGTAGGTCAAATTTAACAATTCTGAAGAAAGCAAAGTGGAGGTGTGATATTCGAATATCCTTTCCTGATGGCATCCACTCAAATAGACCCAAATAGCAGGGCATGCTCGTTTGAGATCGGCAGAGCATCTATTGCAGGCAGTTTGACTTCGAAGAGTGAGAATCAACAATTCTTTAACCCTTGTCTTAATAATCCTGCAGTTATAACTGTATTAGGCAAAAGCCCCTATAGCGGCACTGAATTTTTACTACGGATGATCTCAAGCTCTTTCAGGAATAACAAAACGATCTCTCAGTCAAATTTTCGCTCAAAACGAAAACATCACTGCATTTTCAAAACTTACTCTAAATTAATTGTAGCACAGAATATTATGGTTATATGAAAAGCATACAGTAGCTCTCTCATTTTTTAGGAATGCTAAACTCCTCTAAAGCGAAATAACTGTCCAGTTTCTCGGTTTTAAGGAACATCTTGAGCTCAAGATTTCTAGGAATTAATCAAATCGTTTTATCTAAAAAGCAAATTTACGACGGAAAAGGGAATTGAAGCTTGCCCTTGAGGTTTTAACTGAGGTATGGAATAAAGCATTTTCTATAAGAGAAGGTCCATTCATGTCCGCAGTTGCTTTAGTGCAACTTTTCAATTCAAGCCGCTGAAAAAATTTCTATGCATAATTGTTGAGGTTTTTGATTCGTTTCGTGCAGTAAACGGTGCGAATTTAAAATTCTGAAGAAGGCAAAGCGGGCCAGGGGTGCGATATTCGAATATCCTTTCCTAATGACATCCACTCAAGTAGACCCAAAGAGCAAGGCACGCTCGTTTGGGATCGGCAGAGCATCAACTGCCGGCAGTTTGACTTCAAAGAGTGAGAATCAACAATTCTTTAATCCTTGTCTTAATAGTTTTGCATTTATGAAAAGCCCTTTTGGCAACACTGAATTTTGAATTTCTCTCATAACAAAATGATTTCTCAGTCAAACTCTTGCTCAAAACGAAAACATCACTACATTCTCAAAACTTACTCTAAACCAATTGTAGCACAGAATATACTGGTTATACGAATAGCATACAGTAGCTCTCTTAATGGTAGCCAACGCAGAACCAATATGCAGGAATATATATCCTGCTATACTTTGTGGATTGATAATGGAGACGTCTCTGGAAAGGGAAAGAGGAGACAGACAACTTAGCAAATTGAGAAAATTTAGATCGTCCAGCTTTCAAGGTCTCGCCATCATATGCCTATATAATCTCTTCCTTGCTGGTTTCAGGCTCACTGATTTTTCCAAGAAACGAGCGGTTCCTGCATTTTGGTGAGCTATTGCGTGCTAACAGCTATTGCGTGCTAACATCCAGAAAGTGAAGAGTTATTTTTGGCAAAGAGCTACTATTAAGGGTCAACATTCTCAGCTGATATCTTCTAGAGAACTCTCCAATTTAAGTTATCATTTAACAACAAACAGTCCCTTTAGTCACCTTTGCAGCTGCTCCGTTAAGGATGTCATAGAAACATTCCCCATCGATAAAAAGTAATTCCTTTCCACCGATGAACGCTCCTTATCAGGTATACAGACACTATAGGCTGATTACAGAGAGCCATCAATATTTGGGGAACCTCTTGCATCAGTTTTGGCCTCGAAGACACCGTTTTTAATGTAGACCACATATGAAAAATATCACTAATATAAATGGCGGTGCTTAATTTCCTTTCACCAAACATTGTCTTGGTTCAAATTATTTGATTCGTACTAAAGGCCTTTGATCCAAACACGAGACACCTACTTAGCCATTCCTCCCTCTCGAAACAAGAAAACATCACATGCTAACTCCGTTTTCCGAAATTGATTTTGGAGACATGTCATCACAAAATGAGTCGGAGTACAACTTACCCAGGTTTTAAGCCTCTTTTAGAGCCTCCAATAGGATTTTCTATAATCGATGATGTCTTGGTATGGTCTGCCTCTACATTTCACTTATTTAGCGCCCGGAAGAGAACAAACGCGCGAGCAATTTAGAAATAAATGATCTCACCGAGGATTCTTTCTAATATACTTGGATATCCATTCATTTGATACGAGGTCAAAGGGAGCCGAAATTCATGTGCCGTCGCAACTTACAGAAGACCCGACCGATTTTTTTTTCAATGACGAAACGCAAAACTCCTAAAGTGATCAGTAAGATAAAGATTTAGCCAAGCGTAAAGGCGGAGCACTCGTCAGTTTATTTTCCAGCCCTTCAATAAGATAAAAACTGTAATAAAACTCTTCAGTACTGGCTGTAGAAGAGTTTCTTCAAGGAGATTTGGTGAGCAGTCTGAGGGGTGGGGGCGGGAGGGAGAATTGACGGGGCATGGAGCCGAGAGACGATGTTCTCACAACTTGCAAAGTAATCAACATGCATGCTAGTCAGTGGTGCTAACATTTCAACCTCCTCTGTTTCGCGTAAAAATTAAAAAGAAAAGCCATTTTCAACTGCTGTTTGAACCTGTAAATTCTTAAAACTTTTCTTCTTTTGGCCATTATTGTTTCATGATTGTCCTCTGGCTTTGCTATTTGATTCGGTAACCTCAGCTGAAACTATTTATAATGAAGGTTTCTTTAAGCCAACTGCCCATGATCTCAGCAACTCTAGTTAACAAAATTTGTCTAACATGTTTCTTGCGCTGCAAAAGTCTGCTTTAAAAGAAGACAAGCTAGGGCTAAAATGTCATGATTAACACTTGATGACGAAAGTAGACTTAGGACTCGATCATGAAGACATTTGTGGAAAACTTGAGATAATACCTGGATTTCATTTTTACATCTCAGAAATCAATTCCAAACATCAATCAAGTTTTCTCTTTAGTTTTAAATTTGAGTTGATGTTGTTATTGGCTATATTAAAAGGGTTGAAAAGTTTTTGATGGTATTTTCTCATGTTTGCAAACAGTTGAATTTACTGGAAGGTAGAGTTATTGCAACATGTTAACATGAAGCACAACAATAAATTTTATTGATGTGTAAAAAGTATTCATTTGACTATCTACTGGCAAGTTGTTGTACTATATTTCAACCCAACCATTTCCCGTATCAAATGATACTGGGAGATCTAAGAATATTCAAAAGAATGTAAGATTTGTTTGAAAAATTAGAACTCAGTATAAGCCAAATAAACAAGATTCTTATAATAAAGATATGTGTATTAATGAAAAAAGCTAATCAACTTTTCACCGGTTTTACATGTTGAAAACACACACGCGCGCAGATTTCTTATAAACCTGTAGTTCAAGAGCCTGCCATGACTTCAAAAAAAAGAACAAAACAGATTAAATACGTGTATCATACATTAATATGGCTCTGGAAACGTGAACCGGAAGGTTAACCCGTTTCGTTGCTTCGCTTTTGCTAACGTAGAGAAGTAAACTTCAGTCGCATCTCTCAACTCCAAAAATCTGAGTCTCTTTCATCTTATGGCGAGTTTGAAAAGATGAAAAATGGCTCATGTATCTCAAAAGGTGATAAACAAGCAGTATGCTACGTAACTGTTTCCTCATGAACTATAGGAGTCAAAGCTTTAAATCCAATTCGCAGCAGCGCTATGTGAGGGATGATACAAAATCGGTCCACGAATTCAAAATTGATGAAAGCAGCTGTCATTTATAGGGAAACTTACTTTGAATTTAGAAAATTTACGGTGATACCACAATGATGTGTTGCTAAGTAACACGGGCTACTTCTAAATTACAGTGTTGAGCTTGTATACAGCTGTTTAGACGGATGACTGGTTTGCTGTCTGGTCAACTGTGTCGTTGACTATCAACCTGTAGAACACAATTAAAAGTAATGTATATCTTAGACCTGACTCTCTTGGATGAACGAGTAGATCACCGAGATATTAACTTACACACAACTAGACAGTGTTCCGGCATTGATTAACGTTATTTCAAAGAATGTGCATGCATGATTTTATCTTTCACTTGAAAGCTAAAATATCCGAGACAAATTCGGTCAGGTAACATTCGCCTGTGGGTTTTTTTTTTAGTACGTTCGTTCCTTAGCGAGATCGGAAAAGAAAACATCGAGTGGTGCGATTGTCAAGTGGTAAGTAACCGAGATATTCAGAGATAGAACAACGAAACAGAACGGTTTAGCTAAGCTAAAGTGATAGGTTTTGAAAAGAACTGTTTGTAAAACGTCGAGTTGAAATCGCTTCAACTCAATGTGGCAAAAGATGAAAATTTTTCGTGAGTCGTCTAACCGACCGAACAATCGAATGACTATGAATACATGTCAAAGTGGCTTACCCTCTCTTTCCCAAAGAAACGGGGCATGAGCATATTCCAAATTAACTGCTGACCATAACTATGTTACCACTCACGAGAACTTTTCTAACATCTGCTGACTAGCCGTTGCCAGAATTTCTCTCTTTTCATAAATTGTAACTACAAGAAACAGGGAATCTGGGCTTGCGCGATCTAGCAACCATGATAGAGACAATTGCGGGTGTGATCGTGTAAACTCAAGACGTTCCTGACTATATTTTACCTAAACTTCCCGATCTGATAGAACTTGACATAGTGGGACATTCTTGATGGTAACACTTACCAATGCTTCAGCTCGGTAATCTCTTTCCAGACAACCTGCAGGCGATCTGTGATTTCACGAAGTTTCTGCGACCATGTTTGAAGTTGTTGTAATTCCCCTTTCAGCGTTGACATTTCTTCAGACGAATCATCTTCTACGCTTTTTATGTGTGACGAAACTGCTTCAGATCTTCCTTTCATAACATCTGATGCATTCACCTGGAATTCTTTAAATTGTGCTTTCAATTCCTCCAACATCATCCGCACGTGCTCTTCAATTTTACCCTTCTTCATTTGACTCGGCCCAATAGCACTTCTTATTTTCTGTCCGACTCCGAAACCTCCAACGTTTTCCACCAACTTTGAAAAACCCAGAGTAGTTCCGAATCCCACGCTTCCTATTGCCCCGGCAAGTGCTTTTCCGGCAACAGATATTCCTGCCCTCTCTAATGTTGCGACAATCACTGTAAAAACAAAAATAATAACCATCCTATCATATGACAATTGATCAATTTTAGGTTTTTCCTCTTATATCTTACATTTATCTCAATTAAAAGTTATACAAACTAACATGTTCTTCTCAACAATGTTTCCATAAATAAGCCCGAATAAACCTTTCCCAAAGTTTCATAGTTTGTAAAAGCGCAATACATATGGTCTTTTCAGAAAAAATATTCTTGTTGAGTTCGGGATAATATAGATTAGCCAGGGAATATTATTGCTTCTTTAATACTGTTGTCGTAATTCTTCTTGTCTGGTCATTATCATAGTCATAATTACTAATGTCATATCATATTATATCATAAATGAAGCTATTATTATTAACATTGCAATCATCATCATTGTTATTATTATTATTATTATTATTATTATTATCATTATTATGGGGTCTCCATGCACAATATTCAGAAACGTATAACTTAAGTATATAATCAAAACTTATAGAAGCCCTTCTAGACTATTCATCTGTCAGTAGACACCTCGCAAGGTACTTAAAGAACACAGCCATTATGAACCAGACCTTGAAAAAGCATACTCCAGCAGTCAAACAAACATGGTTAGCTGATGACTCAGCTTGGGGAGGAACAATTTCACTGCTTTAAAGCTGTTATAAGCACTTGACCCGGGAAGGAGCGAAGTTTGGTCAACGTTTTAATTAATCAAAAAAGCTGGTTGATTATTTACTTGATGTATGCCTGTTTATTCGAGAAAAAGCCAATAGCATATATCCTCAAGGAGCCAGAGAACGAGAAGAAAGGGTAATACCAGTAACCTGTGTTGGACGTGGAGATGGAGTCCTTTACATTTATGCTCTTGGCTACAAACGGTGGAATGGGAGCTGATTGTAAAATGTTCCAGAGAAACCCCGCCGAGAAACTCTAAAGGAGGAACGGAGAGGTCTGTGCAGAAGTGATTCATAACTAAAAAACGTTTATCATTTGAGATTTGAGATCTGTTCATGTGTGTTTCAAAGGCTCTATAATGCTATTTCGTGACGCAAAGGAAGTCCTAAATGATTTTAGATTTAATAGCATAGTAGTCAGTCCGATTTAATACTTTTCCCTTTGGTATCTAATATGTTATCGAGAGCGTTTCGGAGAGATTGTTTTACATATTTATTTTTTAATTCCTAAAAAATTTAAGATGATGTATTTTACTCCATTAAAAGTCGTTTGATCTTTTTTTAAAGTAATGATGATGACTAAAATATTAATAATAATAATATTTTTAATGATAATTTTTATAACATGATTGTCATTATAACCAATATTATCATTATTATTATTATTATTATCACTGTTAAAAGTAGAAATGGTAATAATAGTAGAAGTGGTAGTATTTATTAAGTGGTAGTGTTGGTTGTAATGGTTACTGAGGCCGTGGTGTTTGTGCTGGTTGTGGTCGTTATGTTGGTGCTAATTTTGGCGTTGATTGGTGTGATAGTGGTGCTTGTGGTGGTGGCAGTGTTGCCGGTGGTTCTGATTGTGAAGCTGGTTTTTGTGGAAGGAGTGGTAGTAGAAGTGCTGGTAGTGATGGTGTTGCTAACGGTGGTGGTCCTAGTAGTGGTGGTAATGGTGGTGTCGGAAATGGTTGTGGATGCGGTAGTAGTGGTATGGTGGTGTGGTGGTGGCAGTAAGAGAGGTAGTAGGTGGTGATGTTAGTGATGGCAGTAGTGGTAGCGGTGGTGGTAGTAGTGGTGGTGGTAGCAGTGGTAGTGGTGATGGTTGTAGTGTTTTGGTAGTGGTAGTTGTGATTGTTGTATATACTTGTGGAGGTAGTTGTTGCTGTAGTTGTGAGAGGTGGTTATGTTAGCAGTGTTTTTTGTTGCAGTGATGCTAATTATATTGGCAATATTAGTGGCTGTAGAAGTAGTAGTAATAGTAGTAGTAGTAATTGTAGTAATAGAAGTAGTAGTAGTAGTAGTAGTAGTAGTAGTGGTAGTAGTAGTAGTAGTAGTAGTAGTAGTAGTAGTAGTAGTAGTAGTAGTAGTAGTAGTAGTAGTAGTAGTAGTAGTAGTAGTAGTAGTAGTAGTAGTAGTAGTAGTAGTAGCAGTAGTAGTAGTAGTAGTAGTAGTAGTAGCAGTAGTAGTAATAATAATAATAGTAATAGTAATACTGGTGGATATTTACCGAGCCGCGAAGCGCGAGGTAAATATCTACCACTTTCACCAACACTGCGGTGAATACCTCTTCAATATGTACCACACAGATATCTTCAATATGTACCACACAGATACCAAAAAACTAGTTTATTTTCTTCTCTATACCGAACGATTGTAAGAAATTAACTGATGACTTTGTCTCATCGGCTGCTCGGAGGTGAGTAGTACTTGTAATTCATTTTCCAATTAGCCAATCACCGCATGCGAAGGGCACTACTCATTTTTGTGGTATGTAGTTGTTAAAAAATAAAGAAGCCTTGACTGTGTTCCGTTCTGTTGCAAAGCACACAGGAACGGCCAGAGCACGAAAGAAATGAAGGGAGAAATTCTAAATTCTTCCGGAGTGCCTTAACCGCTTCCTTCTAGCTACTTTACAGCTACTTTACAGCTACTCTACAGCAAAACAAATTCAATGTTTCAGAATAAGGAATCTGCCAAATTTTTCAAGCATTACTTACAATTTTCAAAAAAATTTTATAGTTGAAGCGAGCACGAGTGTCGCCATCTATACTCTTATAAAATACGCTACAATAAGACAACCAGAATGCTTGTTAGAAAGGTTCATATAACATGATTGGTTGGACAAGACAAAAGTCAAAATTGTTAAACCATCAAAGCTCATAATCTGCAATAGTTTGGTAGGTCGAATATAATACTTTTACCTAAAGTTTTTTTTTTATCTTGATACTGAATCTGTAAGCAAAATGTTCAGTGAGATCCAGCAGAATTGTGGCTCATGAAAACAAGCAATTTTTTTAAATTTTTTTTCCACATGAAAGGAATTTCTCAAAACGTACGTTTTCTGAATAAACGAGAGCCAAATTCATTGGAACATGAGAATTGCTCGTAATGACAGCGCCGTAAAAATAGGTAGCAGTGATTGATGTGGTCTTCCACCTAACGCATCAGAGAAGATATCAGAGCTGGCTCTTAGTTCACTCGAAGAATGGACGATGTAATATCTGAGGCTTACTTCACTGCGATGACCGTAAATCGCCGTGATAAGCTAGATGCGGTGGACCTCAGCATGATCGCAGTCGCCCTGACACCGACACGATTTGTATGAATTTAACAGTTATGCCCGTTTGGTTATATTTTTTCATCATTACTGTTTTGTTCTGTTTAGTTTTTTAACGCGAAGCTATATATACTATACGAGTGTTAGCTGTGATAGAGGTTTATCGCCGCAGATAAGCTTACAGTGTAACTGAGCGTGAACACCTTCAAAACTCGGACTGTCCATTTCGTTATCTCTCTGAGGATTTTCGTTTCTGGTTACGTTATAATAACGTCAATTACGGCGCTTGGCATGTTTCCAAACCTTTTGGTTCCTCTCTCGCCACTTGTTCACTTTCAATGAAAGAAAAAAATCTTGAGACAAGACCGGGAAATGGTCGGATATAGTACAAATTGACAGCTTTACCTTAGCTATGTGTTTTGTACTCTGATAGAACTCGGTCTTTCAACCTATGACAGCGCGTGTTATGTCCGAACTTTATAATAGTAGTTGTTTAAGTATCAGTACAGTTATTGACGTTGCTTTGTTCGTTCCATTGCTCTGGTAGCACTATTTTAATAATTCTTTAAATAGGGAAGAATTCCCTCGGTGAAAATTTCTGAAGAAAGGAATGATTACATGTATTGCACCTAAAGAAACGCCACCATCTCTCGGGATATCTGAGCACAGTAACTTGTAGTATCACTTACTAGCAGTTGTACCTGCTGTTGGTGCTGCACCTACTGTCGCTACGGCAGTCCCTGTGGCAGCTGCACAACCAAACACGACCGCCCACAGGTTGTTGCTTGTGATGTAGGCGTGAGGGTCCCAGTTACTGTTGTAGCCGTAATCTTCTGGTTCCTTCAACTGTTTAGCTTCGTGGGGCGGTAATTGTTTTGAACATCCATAGTTACCTTGGATAGAATCTTCACACTTCTGAAACTCATCTTTTATCTTTAGAATTTGTCGCTTTAAAATCTCATTGATTACACAGATCTCACTTTTAAAAAATGCATTAATGACAAGATTCTCACTTTCCTCGCTGTTACACTCCGTCATCCTGTTGCCAAGTTCTTTCAACAACCCATCAATCTCTTCGCTAGAGAGATAGTCACGTATCAGTTTGTCGAGATGTTTCACTTCCTGGTCCACTTTCTCAAGGATATCGCGATGTTTTTTCAAAGTGCTGATTTTATTCTCTAAACTTGTTAATCTTTTTTCTTTTTTGGGTTTTTCCTCACAATTAATGGTGCGTTGAAAATTTTCCAGGTTTTCGGCGAATGTTGAAGATAATTTTTCAGCTTTCTTTGAGAGAAAGATGCCTTTTTTTGCTTTAGCAGATTTTGCTCTCTCAGCTAGATCTCTCTCAAACCTCAAAAACTCCTCTATTCCAGTATTTCTTTCTGTCTTCTCCTGAAATGACAATTACACGAAAATGCTGCAGTTAAGGTAAAAAAAGATAATGCATATTCATTGAGCTGACATTTTTTCCTCGGAGATTTTTCCCCCAAAATCGATCTGCACTGCATATGGCAGAACCAAAAGCCTCAAAGACATTTAAGTACCCTCAAATTTTTCCGGTGCAAATAAGTTCGATCCAGAAAAGAATAAAATATGAGAATATTTTAAAACGCCCTCAGATAAGCGATTTATGCGAGAATTTTCGGATTCAAGACTATAGTTTTCAGAACTTTGGCACGGATTGTATACACAAGTTCAATCTCAGATTAACATGCTCGTCTAACTATGTTATTTACTTGGCCTGGTGCAATCAATTATTTACAATACGTGGATTCTACGGCAACGGAGTATTAAGTCCGTTTTCATAGCCACGTCATCGATAACAAGAAAATAAGAAGATAAATGACCTGGCGTCTATTTGTATTGAACATGACATTTCCCAAATCAGCTTCATTGCAATTGAAAGAGGGTCTCAATGGAGCTAACCGATAGCCGTAAAACGGCAAAAAATATAGGCGAAGAAATCTAAAAATTTTAACCGATAGACATAAAAAGGTTAAGCGTAAAAAAAATTTGGTGACAAAATTTCAATTATGTAACCATTAGCAGTAATAGCCATCACCCCATTGACTCCCTCCTGAAAAAATCAAGATCCAAAAGGACGCTGGTCATATTGATCGATTACTTCTAGCTAGGGAGGCGTATCGGACCGCCCAATTTGTTTACGCTTTACCCTCTTGGCCCTAGCCAAAGGCGGGAGTTTAGATCCAAGAACCGTATTTGTTATAGTAGCTAGTTAAGTTAGGACAGAACACCGTACCATTCACGACGAAGTGATATATTTTCGCCATTTCAGGTTTTGGTCCTCTGATATGCAGGAAAGATTGATTTTTGGTGGAAAATTTCCTAATGGCTCTGGCGACGAACTTATCATGTGTAGATCCTTTTTGATAATCAATTCAATGTGTGGGAGAGCAAGGTTGTATTCAAGCTATATATACATTCCTTTTCTTATCAAAAACGGACTTTTTGATGAGAAACTAAAAAAGGAAAGTATATTAATTTAGTATATATTTTCTGTGTGCAACGCTTTTGAAAAAGAGTGTAAATACATCTACTGCAAATATACAAGAAATTTTGGACCAATCAGAGCGCGCGTTGTGTCTAATATATTGCTTAATGTAATTGTTGGCAGTCGTTGTCTATGCAGAATCCCTTCGCCTCTCCTAGGCCATTTCCTTCTTCAATTTGATTTTACAATTTGTTAGCGTCTGTCACCAACAGAATACGTCAGTATCTCGGTTTGCCTCGTTTTGCGATTTTAATTTGCTCCAATTAGATTGCCGGAATACACAAACACAAAACTTACCATTGCTACTGTGGCATTCTCTGCTTCAACGAAATAAACTTCTTTCTCGCCTTCCACCTCTTCTTCGAATGTTGCTTTGCATTTTTTTTTCGCTTCTTGCCGCCTCGTTTCTGAATGGAATGTGTCACTTTTTGTAACGACCCCAAACTTGAACTGGGACTTCGTCCCCTTTAGCACCTTTGTCACCTTCAAAGCAAAATTAAATGATGTAGCGAACAATTTATCTTATTGTTTTAGTATGTTGCTTTCCTTTTTTGCGCTATTCTGGTATCTTTATTATTGTATATCGACTGGAAAGCGTTATCAATTAAACAGCGCATAAAAACTCCCGCTCTTATGTTCTGCCTTCATTTTCACAAACTTTTGATGGACTAGAATCGCTAGTGACTGAGAAAACACCTCTGTTCGTATTCTTTTACATTTCATTGCTTGAAGATAATAAAAGAATCCAAAAAGATACACACAGAAAGTTTTGTCGATTTAAAGTAGTCTCTCGATGTATCCACCTCTTTTCATCTCGGCAATTGAATTCCAAAAACAATTAAATATCGATATAAAGTCAATGAAGCAAGCACTACGATCAGTTTTAACAGCCCCCGTACCAAAAGACTATTATGATGTCCCATCTAATTTTTGCTGAACATACAAGGAGTTTTAAATATGAACCGTGTAGACATTACTTACATCCTCCATTAAAGGTGAATCAAGATTTATCACAACCACAATTAGATCTGCTATCTTGAAGGAATCAGCGACAACTTGGTTAAAGTCCTTAATCTCTCCCATACCGGGTGTATCTACCAAGACGATATCTTCTGGTAGATTGCAGAGGTTAGAGGGCCAGTTTACTTGTACGATACTTTTAGAGGTGATATTTTCCTTCTTCATTTGTTCCTCAGTTTCATCAGTAACCAGTGCATCTAAATATCTTTTTACTGCTTCTTTGTCCATTTTGTCGGAGAGTATAGTTCCACTAACAGTGTCAATAACGCTCCACAGTTTATCAGGTGTGGGACGAACTTGAATGGTGCACATCGTTGTTGTACCTGGTCCAACGGGAAGACGATCGTCTTGAAGTAAGGCGTTAATCAAGGATGATTTTCCACTGTTTGTTTTTCCCACAAAAACAACGGTTACGTCTTTAGATACCGCCTTTTTATGTTCATCTTTCAAACCACCAACCATTTGCCGGAGGTCATTCTGCGACTTCTTAATTTTCACTTCACTTTTGTACTTCTTACAGTACACATCACAGATCTCTTCAAAATCTTTTGATGCTTCTGTTAAGCTCTGAATTTTGTTGCTCAATTCCCCTTTAACTTTCTGTACTGTTTCTCTAAATTCCTCCCAATTCTGTTTTCTAGGCGATGCTGCTGATCCTGCAGTTGCCATCGCTTGATTCCTGGGACAAGTTAAAAGAATTGTCAACCCCGTCACCTCAGGCAGTTGTTTTAATTTAGTTGAAGTGTCAGGACCTGCACGTGAATTACACGGTATAGAAAATGTTGCGGAACAAAAAGCTCTTTTTATGCTGTTGCGCCCTGGTGAAGTGTACATGAATGACCGCACTCCTCGCTTGCTTTTATATTCATCAGGAGTAGTAAAAATGTGGGAAAATATGAATGGAAATTAGTGCTGGAGATCTTGACGATGACAACTCAATTATTTTGTTATTTAGGACGGCTGCGAGACTGGGGCTATAGCATTTGAAGATCGTGGTAAATAACTGAGTAAACGAAGAATATGCATTACGGAAAAATTTAACCATAAAAAAAATTGCGATAACACACTTCAAAAACCAATATAATACATCTTGAAAAAACTTATTTAATTTTAAGTTATCTATTTTTTAAACGTATTAATTAGCACCTGTTGTTGTTTTTACTATTTATAGCCTAATAATTTTGTATTTTTTTTTGCCGGACTTTTAAGGCGGTTTTAGAAGTATTTTATGTCAATTTTTGCGGCCGGTATTTACAGCAAAACGTTTTGTTTGACTCCTTGATTTGTTTATCACTTTGTTTAAAAGGGGTTTGATTATACTTTATAATTTTCCCATCTCTAGCGATTTTATTGGCTTTTTAACTTCACGTGGTGCAACATCACTACGCAGTAACCCCCGCCTGCGTCGATATATGTCCTCTGATAACTTACGTTGAAAAGAAATAAAGCCAGTAAAAAGTTTCATCTCTATTATTTTACAAGGAAAAAAAATCGGTTTTCGCGTGATTAAGAAATTAATGGCAGTGTTATAGATAAATAAACCCCTTTCTGGCTCGCTGGTGCGTCGGCTGATAATGTCTCTTTTTGGGAGATTCTCCTCAGAATTTTCCCTCACATTTTCCCTCGACGCTTCGCTTCCCGGCCAAATATACCTTTTTCGGACAGTCTTTCGGCTGTGGACATTATCGGCTGACAGACCATACGCCCGAAGGAGTTTATTTACCAAACAAGAAAGACAATGTGTAAATCATTAGAGGGTCTCGATTTGCAAAGTTGTTTCAAATTTTTGCATTTTGCCAACCTCTTAAAACAGTTTGACAAATGGCTCACAACGCATTTGTAGCAATTTTAAGAGTTATTTCATCGTCTTTGCTGCTTTTTTGATAGGAAACTCGGTTACTCTTTTGAAGTTAGAAAGGGAGCTTAAAGGCATTAACGGAGTCATCTCATTTTTAACAAACTAATCCAAGGTGGCTATTGAATTCTTTTTTTTTTCACATCGTAAAACAGGGAACCTTTAAATTAACACCTGAACTGCTCAAATGTCCACAATTTATCATTGAGCAAATGTTCCAATATTCCACGTAGGAAGCCAATGTAAGTTTTATGAAATCTGTTATCAGCTTTGTATCGTCTCATTTTGAGAAAGTAGATGTCCTTGAATTGGCTGGGGAAAAAACCAGCTCGTGTCAAAGCTACCTCTTCAATATACACAAAGTATCAAAGCTAGGCACTTCAATTCCGACGAGCAAAGACTAATTTTTCTAACGGAGATTGATCGGCTGACAAGCACAGTATTACAATAAGTATCATACTTAAAAAAATTGTTATTCCAGCTATTCTTTACAACGATATCTTCAAGTGTATAACTGTTTGCAAAGGTTCCTGTGATCGTTTGATAATTGGCAAGCTTAAACAAAAACGTCCAACCGCCTTCGGTTACGCTTTTAAATACTGAACAAAGTTGCCTTTCAAAATTCCTCCTTGTGTGCTTGTGTGCCCCTTGTATGATTCAAAAAAAAAAAATTCAAACATTTCCTGGAGGCTGACTCTGTGAGCTGGATTTCCTCTTTCAGCTTTCCTCTCAAAAACGGATTGTCTGCAGCTTGTGTAAAATTTTGGTTGTATAATAAATCCTTTATTGTATGCTAGCCTAACTCTTTTCCGGCGTTTTATTTTTGTCGACCTCAAATTCGGCTCGGGTCGGCTCTTCCATGAATACGCAATTCAATAGAGATTGGGAAATATTCGCTCCCCTTTAAACTTACATGAAAGTTTTTGTATTTTGCAATGAAAGCTGGTGGTGACCACGTAACCTGTTTGGGCATATTAGGTGAGACACGGAAACATATCTCTCAATATTTTGCATGCTACAATGCATGCTACCAAATATCAATTGAAACCCTGATAACAAGCTAATTTTCATAGCAAGCAGGAAGGAAAAATAACAATGAAGCAAACAGTAAACGAAATCCATTTAGGAATATTAACCCCTCTAAAAAAAATAATTTGTTTGCTGAATTCGACACTTTTAGGAATCAGTCAAGTCCTTTTGTCCACTGGAGTCTGCCTTTGAGGTTTTAATTCAGAAATAAAATGAAACATTATATAAAAAAGAAGATCATTTCATGACCATAGTCTAGTTTTAGAGGAACTTTTTATTACTTCACACACATTGCAAATTTGAAAAGTTTTCGATTTGTTGCGTTTAGTAAACAGGTTGACTTAAGAATTCTAAAGAAAGCAAAGGCCACTGACTTTAATTTTCGAATATCATTTCCTAATCGTATCCATTCACACAGGCACGTTCGTATGAGATCGGCAAAGAATCTTCTGCTGGCAGCTTGACTTCCAAGAGCGAGAATTAACAACTCTTCAATTAAAAATTACACACTGAGTTATAGCTGTATTCAGCAGGGAAAAGTCTCGTATAGCAGTACTGAATTTTGTGTTAGGATAATCTCAAGCTCTTTAAGCAAAATGATCTCTTGGGTCAAATATTTGCTCAAAACAAAAACGTCACTGCATTTTAAAAACTTATGTTTTTGTAAGCTAAAAGCTTAAAAAAAGCTTAAAAAGCTAAATTAGCTTTAAAGCTTATTTTACCGTGGGATATCCTGGTCACATAATTAACATACTGTAGCTCCCTTGATGTTAGACAAAGCATAAACAAGAGGAATGAATACCTGTTTTTATCCGGTTCCTCTTTATGGATTGATAATGGAGATGTTTTCTATATAAGTAAAGAAGAGACAAACAGCTAAGCAAACTCAGAATATAGACAATTAAGGGCTTTAAATGGCCACTCAGTATGGCACTATTTTTAACGCATTGAACAGAAATAGTGGTTGTACAATGACGCTGGAAGGTAGTGTTGAAGAATATTTGTCTAACAAGCAAAATAGAAAAACCTGCTGCATCACACATACTTAAGAGTAGCCTGTTCTACAAGAAAAAGATGATTCAAGAAACTATTGTCTAATTGACATTCAAACAATAATTAAATTGTAAGAAATGATAATTTGAACAATGATAATAATGATAACGATAGTAATACAATAATAATTTTCTCATCTCATTTCAGTTCCTTTTTCGGAAACTTTTGTTTCACACAAAAAGGCAGTCAGCGATCGGTTGGATCACTCAAGGTATCTTATTTCGCAGTATTCTTGTTTCGCAAATTGAGCGGCTTTTTTTTGGCAAAAGTCGGTGATTCAAACAGTAAAATGCTCTCTTTTCAAAGAAAAACAAATTTTTTCGATGCTTCCATGATGGTCAGATCACATCTACTGAGATATTTCTGCAATGAAAAATTTTTTATTTAAATTATGCGTCGGTGTGTGCCACTGTCAAATTATTTTGAGCAATGGGCTCCTGTTTTGAGATGTTTATCATCGTTTGTAGTGTCACGGCATAAACTGAAAATATTATCTATTTGGATCAACATAATTTGCTGCTTTAAACGGTAAATGTTCTCTCTTCGGAGAAAGAATTTTCAGAGTTTCATGATCCGCCGATCACAGGAAAAAGTTTTTGTTTTTTTGCGCGCGCAATCCTGAAATAATTGTGAGATGTTTATCGTCTTCTCCTGTCTTCTTTAGTTGCAAGACAAGAACTGAAACATAATGCTCTAGTGGCTTTAAGCCAGAAATCACAAAAGGATTGAAGTCAAATGTGTATCGAGTACGAATGTCGAACTAATGAGGTAATCCGAAATTAACAATAAATAGCACTAGGAAACATCGCTTCAAAATTGGGCAAGATCGGAATTCCATTAAGTTGGACCAAGTTACATATATATACTCACTCACTTATCTCAACAACATACATATGAATATATAAATATATCGTTTAGATTTCAAGGCAATACAGTGTGTTAGCTTGAGGACCAAATCCATTCTCTCAAGGAAGGTGTTGGTTTACAGCTTATAAAGGTGACAATTATCTAGCTGTCAAAATTTGACCGGCGTCACTATTTGTCGCTTAACTAGCGAATCATGCCGAGTTTTGTGAAGCAGTTCCCACACACTAAGTATGTACGTTCGGTTTGCTGATTCTTCCCAAAACGACTCTCTACATTAAAATTTCATACTTTTGCGGTTAAGATCGGGCAAAATAAAAACAAGGTTGGTAATATAAAGATTATAAAGGACCCATTGCGTACATTAGAATTACACTCAGAGAGATAAGGAAAGAGAAAATAGCCCCTGAAGTTTGTTCATGACAACAGAATAAACAGAGACTTCAAGGAAAAAAGGGCGTACCCAAATGCCGATCACATAAGTTAACAAATTATAAATTCAGTGTGGAAGGTGAAAAGTACAAGTTGTTTACGCCTTTAGTCACCTTCCAGAAAGAGATGTTGAACGTACTAAATAAAAAATTTAGAATGATTACAGAGAGCCATCTGTTCATTTCGTTCGGTAAACAGGTCGAATTTAACAATTCTGAAGAAGGCAAAATGGAGGTGTGATCATCGAATATCATTTCCTAATGGTATCCACCCTAGTAGCAAGGCAGACTTGTATAAGATCAGCAGGGCATCTACTTCCGGCAGTTTGACTTGGAAGAGTGCGAATCAACAATTCTTTAATTCTTGTCTTAATAATCATGCAGTTATAACTGAGTTAGGCAAAAGCCGCTATAGCGGCAATGAATTTTGACTTCGAATGATCTCAAGCTCTCTCAAAGTAAAATTACAGATCTCTCGGTCAAAATTTTAGTTCAAAACGAAAACACCACTGCATTCTCAAAACTTACTCTAACCTGATTGTAGCAAAGAACATCCTGATCATAGGAATAGCTTACAGTAGCTCTCTCAATTTTTAGAAATGCTAAACTCCTCTAAAGCGAAATAAATGTGCAGTTTCTCGCTTTTAAGGAACATATATGTAACGAGATCAATGCAAATCAACAGGCGAGTTGAAGAACAACATTTTTAATCGACTAGAAATTTAGGATATTCTAGGACATCTGAGTGCCGCAGGCACGCGGTGCTGGATCATCCTATTACATAATTACGTGTTCATACCAGTGTAGATGATTGGCTCATATCAAACTGGTGATCAGAAAGCACGTGGTGAGATATGTGCAAAATAGAGTAACGCAATATCTCTACAATATTAGGCTCAAGATTTCTAGGAGTTATTCAAGTCCTTTCATCTGCAAGGAAAATTCACGACGGAAAAGAGAATTGAAGCTTGTCTGTGAAGTTTTAACTGAGGAATGGATTGAAGCATTTCGATAAAAAGAAAGCCCATTCATATCCGTCGTCTTGCTCTGGTGCAACCTTTTAATACTAGCCAGTTAGACAACTTTTTACAACATCGTTGAGAGTTTCGAGTAGTTGCGTCCAGAAAACAGACCGAATTTAACAATTCTGAAGAAAGGAAAACGGAAGTGTGATATTCGAATATCATTTCCTTGTGGCATCCACTTAAATAGACCGAAAAAGATAGGCACGCTCGTATGGGATCGGCAAGGCATCTCCTGCCAGCAGTTTGACTTCGAAGAGTGAGAATCGACAATTCTTTAATTCTTGTCTTCATAAAAGTGCATTTATAACTGTATTAGGCAAAAGCCGCTATAGCAGCACTAAATTTTGACTTTGAATGAACTCAAGCTCTTATATAGCAAAATGAACGATCTCTCGATCAAACTTTTGCTTAAAACGAAAACATCATTGCATTTCAAAACTTACTCTAAACTAATTGTAGCAAAGGATATCCTAGTCATATGAAGAGCAGCTCTCTTAATGCTAGACAACTTATGAGCTTAAGGAATAAATACCTGTATTTATCCTGCTATACTTTGTGGATAGATAATAGCGACGTGTCTGAATAAAGAAAGAGGAGAAAAACAGCTTAGCAAAGTCAGAAAATTTAGATCGTCTATTTTTCAAGGTGTCGCCATCATATGCTTACATAATCATTTCCTTGCAACTTTCAAGCAAACTGATTTTTCATAGAAGCGAGGCATTCCAGCGTCTTGGGAAGTATGCGTGCTAACAGCTATTGCGTGCTAACAGCCAAAATATGAAGAATTATTTTTGATGAAGAGCCATCACTTAAGGTCAGTATTCTCACAGAGAACTCTCCAATTTCAGTCAAATAATAGCAATTAACAAATTTTCGTTTACTAAATAGGTCAAATTTAACAATTCTGAAGACGGCAAAAAGGGGGTGTGATCATCGAATATCATTTCAATTTTTGCTCAAAACGAAAACACCACTACATTTTCAAAACTTACTCCAACCTGATTGTAGCAAAGAATATCCTGATCATAGGAATAGCTTACAGTAGCTCTCTCAATTTTTAGAAATGCTAAACTCCTCTAAAGCGAAATAAATGTGCAGTTTCTCGCTTTTAAGGAACATATATGTAACGAGATCAATGCAAATCAACATGCGAGTCGAAGAACAACATTTTTAATCGATTAAAAATTTAGGATATTCTAGGACATCTGAGTGCCGCGGGCACGCGGTGCTGGATCATCCTTTTACATAATTACGTGTTCATACCAATGTAGATGATTCGCTCATATCAAACTGGTGATCAGAAAGCACGTGGTGAGATATGTGCAAAATAGAGTAACGCAATATCTCTACAATATTAGGCTCAAGATTTCTTGGAGTTATTCAAGTCCTTTCATCTGCAAGGAAAATTCACGACGGAAAAGAGAATTGAAGCTTGTCTGTGAAGTTTTAACTGAGGAATGGAATGAAGCATTTCGATAAAAAGAAAGCCCATTCATATCCGTCGTCTTGCTCTGGTGCAACCTTTTAATACTAGCCAGTTAGACAACTTTTTACAACATCGTTGAGAGTTTCGAGTAGTTGCGTCCAGAAAACAGATCGAATTTAACAATTCTGAAGAAGGGAAAACGGAAGTGTGATATTCGAATATCATTTCCTTGTGGCATCCACTTAAATTCGACCGAAAAAGATATGCACGCTCGTATGGGATCGTCAAGGCATCTGCTGCCAGCAGTTTGACTTCGAAGAGTGAGAATCAACAATTCTTTAATTCTTGTCTTCATAAACGTGCTTTTATACAGCACTTAATTTTGACTTTTTGCGTGCTAACAGTTATTGCGCGCTAACAGCTAAAAAATCAAGAATTATTTTCGGCGAAGAGCCATCACTAAAGGTCAGTATTCTCACATGATAACTTCCAGAGATCTCTCCAATTTCAGTCAAATTTTAACAAATAACAAAATTTCGTTCAGTAAGTAGGTCAAATTTAACAATTCTAAAGACGGCAAAAAGGGGTTGTGATCATCGAATATCATTTCCTAATGGTATCCACCCTAGTAGCAAGGCAGACTTGTATAAGATCAGCAGGCCATCTACTGTCAGCAGTTTGCCTTGGAAGAGATCGAATCAACAATTCTTTAATTCTTGTCTTAATAATCATGCAGTTATAACTGAGTTAGGCAAAAGCCTCTATAGCAGCAATGAATTTTGACTTCGAATGATCTCAAGCTCCGTCAAAGCAAAATTATCGATCGCCCGGTCAAATTTTTGCTCAAAACGAAAACACCACTGCATTTTCAAAACTTACTTACGTAATGTCCTTGTAAGCGGTTGCCCATCTCTGTTAATCCAGACTTGGTGAAGTTTGCATGTTAGTAATGTATACCTTTTTTTTTAATGTCTAAGGAATTGACTGTATATCAGGATTGTATATGGTATATCAGTTGCGAAGATATGTATGTATGCATTCCCCGGGCTATATATGCCTCGGGTTGGTTCTCGGCAGGCTTCCCTAAATAAACTTATTTGGTGTACACTACTGTGTTATTTGTTGTGTAGTGGAGACAAAATTAATACTATCGTAGCTGTATTCAGAAGCAAAAACATGTTGGAAATATGCTTCTGCTTTATTTAATTGTAATGGGTTTCTTTTTACGTAACGTGTATCCATTCCTTTAATTTCCTCCCTAACCAGTCCGCAAATAATTAGGTTTTATGTTTTAATTAAAGTGTGAGAGGATAAAACAGAGGTGTTACAGAGTCCTCTTTTTGAATTGAGGTGAGCAGATCAGTAAACTAGTTGATGTCATATGCTTCTCCTGAATCTTTAATGTTATTTCTCTGTTTTTTGTTTGTTTGTTTTTTAGCAAAACCATAGCCTCTTTCACATCAATGTGTGCCATCTAATTTTTTTTTTTAATTGAGCATTTTTTTTAAATTCGATATCAAAAGTTTTTGCATTTACTATCCTAAAACTCATAAATGGCATTGCTTTTTCATCATTTTAAAGAGGCAACTAAAATCTGAATCATGAAGTCAACTGAATTTCAATGAGTTTGAAAATTAATTACACACAAGAACACTGGAGTATAATGTTATATTTAGTTGCGTCTTTCTTGTACATATGACTATTTTATGTATCTTAAAATGGGGGATTTCATTATATTGTAATAATTAAAATGTACTAATGCTTACAAATGTAAAAAAAATGTGATGAAACTTTGATCTTATGAAACACTTAAAATGGAAAAACCTGTTGTTGGTAGCTTATCTCTTTAATGTTTAAATTTTCATGGGAATGCCTTTCTTTGAAACCGGAGATACAAAAATTTTCAAAGAAATAAGCTGTTTGCAAGTAATGTGATTCTTCTCAGACGTCAGCTGGCAAAAGTATAACATTTGATGTTTTCACATATAACATGTATGCCTTTTCACAGGGATAGTTTCCAAGTTTAAAAAAGTCTCTTTGCTTGCTAAAATTCTTAGTTCCTTTGCCCTGATAACCCAACCTCATCAAAACATTGGCAACAGGAGCCATTAGCAAATTAATGATACAAGCAAGCAAGCAAGCCTATTCCCACATACACCCTCCTCAATCCTGTAACTTATTCTGAACATGCTGTTTCAAACATAGTGTATATGTCACAAATTTTTCATTTCCCTGGCTAATTATTTTTTAATGGTGCTTACAAGTTGTGGAAAATATTGGGTTGAAATATAATACAAAGATTTACCAGTAGATAGTCAAATGATCACTTTATGTACTTATTAATAAAATTTTTTGTTGTGTTTCATGTTAACATGTTGCAAAAACTCCAGTTTCAAATTCTCTCTATTTGTCAACATGGGATAAACCATTCAACCTCTTAAAGATAGCCATTAACAACATTAACTCAACTATCAAACTGAAGAGAAAACTTGATTGACTTTGGGATTGATTTCTGTAATATACAAATGAATTCCAGGTATTGTCCAAAGTTTCATTCAAGTGCCTTCATGGTCGCATCTAAGTCTCTTTTCCTTTTTTTAAGATTCTATTGTGATATTCTAGTTCTAGCTTGTCTTCCTTTAAACCAAACTTTCGCAGCGCAAGACAGATGTTGGACAAATTTCGTATTTTAGAAGATGATCAACAAATTCAGCTAAAAAGAATGCTGACTCAGGGGGCTGTTCCCACTCTGTACACTATTGTTTTATTCTGTTTGGCTGACATTTCGCAAGCGAAGAATGGTGAGATTCAAATTGCTTTTTATTTCACGCGTTTGAGATGTACTCATAATCCTTGTCTTTCCACATGCCACATTTGCGCTTTTCTTATCGTATGAAGATCTTACCAATTGTAGTGTCCACCGTATTTTGATAACAGAAATAAATCATTTGTAATTTAGGTCGAGCCCTTTTCTGAGCTGTCTGATGTCCTGAACAGTGCAAAACCTCTGCCGGATACTGGCATAAACACAAGCTCGAAGGAGCCGTGTATTCTCCGAAAATCCACCTCACGAGCCCTCAATCCCTCCCTACCCTCAAGAAACTATCGTCTAGTTTTCAAGGCAATACAGCGTGCTAGCTCAGGGACTAATTCTACTCTCTCAAGGAAGGGGTTGGTTTCCGACTTATAAAGGTGACAGTCATCCAGCTTTCAATATTTGACCAACGTCACTATTTGTCACTTAGCTAGCGAGTCATGCGGAGTTTTGCGAAACAGTTCCTGCATACTAAGTATGTACCTTCGGTTTGTTGATTCTTCCCTAAACGAATCGCTACCTAAACATTTCATACTTTCAAGTTGCGGTTAAGGTCGGCCAAAACAAAAACAAGATTGGTAATATAAAGATTATAAAGGACCCATTGTGTAAATTAGAATCACACTTAGAAAGATGAGTAAAGAGAAAATAGCCCTTGAACTTTGTTGCATTACAACTGAATAAACAGAAAATTCGAGGAAGAAAGGGCGTGCCCAAATGCCGTTCATATCAGTTAACTTATCATAAATTCAGGGCGGAAGGTGAAAAGTACAAGTTGTTTACGCCTTCAGTCACGTTACAGAAAAAGGTGTTGAACGAGCTAAATAAAAAATTTATGATTACCTACTCTACTTACAAAGACTGCCAAAGAAATACGAAATGATAACTAGCTTATAGTCAGTTTCTTTGGGTTAGGGATTAGGGTTTTTTTTTTAACTTAATTGCTTACGCTAGTATGCTATTTCCATTCCCTTTCCAACGCTTAAATAAGTTAAAAACACATCTGCAGAAAATTCTTGCTTAATGCCAATTTTGTCTTTTAACAACATTCCTTACCAGGTATTCAGGCACTATAGAATGAAGACAGAGTGCAATCCATTAGTCTCGTTCAGTAAACCGGTCGAATGTAACAATTCTGATGTTCAAATATCATTTCCAAATTTTATCCACTCAAATAGACCCAAATAGCAAGGCACGCTTGTATAAGATCGGCAGAGCCTCTCAAGAAAAGTGTTGGTTTTCAGCTTATAAAGGTGACAGTTATTCAGCTGTCAATATTTGACCAACGTCACTATTTGTCATTTAGCTGGCGAATCATGCCGAGTTACGTGGAACAGTTCCTGCATACTAAGTATGTACCTTCGGTTTGTTGATTCTCCCTAAAACGACTTTCCAACTAAAAATTTCATACTTTTGCGGTTTAGATCGGGCAAAACAAAAGCAAGTTTGGTAATATAAAAATTATAAAGGGTCCATTGCGTAAATTAGAATTAAACTAAGACAAATAACCAAAGAGAAAATGGCCCTTGGAAGTTTGTTACATAACAACAGAATATACAAGGACTTCAAGGAAGAAAGGGCGTACCCAAGATAGCGACCCCAAAAGAAATAACTGCCGTTCATATATAAGTTAACTAATTGTAAATTCAGTCATGGTCATATGAATAGCTTACAGTAGCTCTCTCATTTGCTAGAAATGCTAAACTTCTCTAAAGCGAAATCATAGAACAGTTTTTCAAAATTAAGGAACATATTGAGCTCAACATCTCTAGAAATTAATCAAGTCCTTTTATCTCCAAGGCAAATTTACGACGGAAAAGAGAATGAAAGCTTGCCCGTAAGGTTTTAACTGATAATTGGAATAAAACATTATGTACAAAAGAAGGTCCATTCGTATATGTAGTCTTGCTTTAGTGCACTTTTCAATACTAGCCACTTAAACAAATTTTTTCCAAAATTGTTGAGGTTTTCGATTCGTTTCGTTCAGTAAACAGGTCCAAGCTACGCATTCTATAGAAATTGGGGTTTGATATTCGAATATCATTTCCTAATGGCACGCAGTCAAATAGACCCAAATAGCAAAGCGCGCTCGTATGAGATCGGCAGAGCATTTACTGCCGGTAGTTTTATTTCGAAGAGTGAGAATCAACAATTCTTTAATTCTTGTCCTAATAATCATGCATTTATAACCGTATTAGGCAAAAGTCCTAATAGCAGCGCTAAATTTTGACTTCGAATGATCTCAAGCTCTTTCACAACAAAATGATCTCTTGGTAAAATTTTTGCTCAAAACGAAAACATTACCGCATTTTCAAAACTTACATTAAACTAATTGTGGCACAGAATATCCTGGTCATATGAACAGTATACAGTAGCTCTCTCGTTTTTACGAATACTAAACTCCTCTAAAGCGAAATAATTGTGCATTTTCTTGATTTTAAGGAACATATCAAGCTCAAGATATCAAGGAATGAACCAATTCGTTTAATCTAAAAGGCAAACTTGCGACGGAAAAGAGAATGAAAGCTTGCCCGTGAGGTTTTAACTGAGGAATGGAATGAAGCATTTTCCATAAAGAAAGTCCATTCATATCTGTAGTCTTGCTTTAGTGAAACTTTTTCATACTAGCCACTTAAGCAATTTTTATGCAAAATTGTTGAGGTTTTCGATTCGTTTCGTTCAGTAAACAGGTTAAATTTAAGCATTGTATAGGAAGCAAAATGGGGGTTTGATATTCAAATATCATTTCCTAATGGCATGCAGTCAAATAGACCCAAATAGCAAGGTATACTCGTATGAGATCGGCAGAGCATCTACTGCCGGCAGTTTGACTTCGAAGAATGAGAATCAACAACTCTTTAATTATTGTCTTAATAATCGTGCATTTATAACTGTATTAGGCAAAAGCCCTTATAGCAACACTGAATTTTGAGTTCGCATAATCTCAAGTTCTCTCATAACAAAATGATCTCTCGATCAAAGTTGCGCTTAAAACGAAAATATTACCGCATTTTCAAAACTTACTCTAAACTAATTGTAGCACATAATATCCTGGTTAGATGAATAGCATACAGTAGCTCTCGTAATGCTAGAAAACGCATGAGTTAAAGGAAGACATACCTGTATTATCCTGCTAAACTTTGTAGATTGGTAACGGAGACGTCTCTGAATAAGGAAAGAGGAGACGAACAGCTTAGCAAACTCAGACAATTTAGATCGTCCAGTTTTCAAGGTCTCGCCACGTATGCTTGCATAATCATTTCATTGCTGGTTTCAAGCTAATTGATTTTTCCACGAAACGAGCTATTCCGGTGTCTTGGAGATTATTGCGTGCCAAAAGCGAGATCATGAAGAATCATTTTTAGCAAAGAGCCACTACTAAGGGTCAGCATTCTCACCTTATAACTTTTAGAGATCTCTCCAATTTCAGTCACATCATTTAACAACAAACAGTCTCTCAAGTCATCTTCGCAGCTGCTATGTTTAGGAAGTCATGCAAACACTCCCCATCGAGAAAAAGCGATTGCTTTCCACCGATGAATATTCCTTACCAGGTATACCGGCCTTTGATTCAAGTTGAATCAATAGACACTAAGATATTCCTCCCTCTCAAAACAAGAAAACATAAGATGCTAACTCTGTTTTCGAAATTGATTTTTGAGACGTGTCATCACAAAATGAGTCGGAGAACAACTTACCCAGGTTTTAAGCTTCCTTTAGAGCCTCCAACAGGATTTTTATAATGATGATGTCTTTGTATGGTGCGCCTCTATAGCTCATTTATTTAGCAACCAGTACTCAAGTAGTTTAAGGCCTGGGTCAGGAGGGTAAATTGCGTTACGAAAATAAACGGCTATATCTCCGCAAAATTACAGCCGATTAAGCTGAAACTTTCGAGGACGATGGTTTTCTGTACGATCTTTCATCGTAAGGCCATAATGCTGACCACGAAGGTCACGTGTTGGATCATGTGATCTAAACGTCAATCAATAAGTTTTTATCGGAATTGGTAAGATATACACATGCACAAGTATAAAGATTAATTACAGCGATTCGTGAGCACTAATTTCCCATCAGACTTGACAAACTAAGCGTTTAACGCCCTGAAAATACCTGATCAAATACATCACTGTACGTACGCAGAACCAGTTTGATTATTTCATGTTGTAACACTTCCTGCCACATTCTTCGAATCATCTTAAGCAGTAGCGAAATATCAACTCGCTTGATAAATAATCAAACATATTAGACAAGAAAGAAGTCAATTTTGAGCACCGAAACGCTTCACGACATTAGAAATTATTAACAACAAAATGCCGAAGCGGAAGTTTGTACACGGGTAGAGGGTGGTGGACTCAATGTCCGAACTTTCGCGGTTTGTTTACATCAAGTGAAATCTAAAGCCTAAAAGGTGAATTAAGCGTTGACAAAGCTAACTCGTACGCATGCATCCGGCACCACTTTAATGTAGAACAGATAATAGTGAGCTTAATCTTCAAATACAACCTCTATGAATCCCAAGTGCTGCTTGACGATGGGCTGGGGTTTTCTGTGACGAAAATGTCACAGGCGCTGTCTAATGTTTGCTGTCTATCACCGAGTAAGACAACTTGAATTCATCTTGGCACAATCAATTTCCTGTTTGCATATTGTCACCTGATCTACGATCTGCATAACTGAAATGGTTTATTTGACATTTCCTTTCTCTGTACAAAATCACTAATAGTCTTACAAAAATTCATAGCAAAGTTTTCAGCTTAGAAATTCAAGGTTGTGTCCAATCTTAGTTGAAAGATATCGGAAAAGCCCAAATAGTTGCAATGTAGCTGTAGCTGTAAAACAAACAGTTTCATTTGGTATTCTTTGTGGAACTTTCGCTTTTATCCGTTATTACGGGAAGGGATTTGAAATCCTCAAATCGACCTTTTTGAGAGGTGACTCTGGGCATCGCCAGTCGTCTACAGAAGCGTTCACAAGCTATTAAATCTAGTGGTAATTGCAATAAGTTGTTCCGCACACTCTACACATTACCGTAGTGGAAAGTTCAATCAGTTCCAAGGCGTTCTGTGTTGTTCAAAGAGAGGTTGATGATGTTCACTTATAAGATTATCGATACCTCAATGTTCATCGAATGAATTCCTTTTTAACGAGAAGCAATTCTTTTAAAAGTGTTAAAAGTGTTCTTTTAACGCAGCTTTGTTGGAAGTACAAGCTTTTTTCAAAACGTGGACTCTTTCTGGGTTGAATCTTTGTTGGTTGTGATAATTTTTGAGCAATTTCCGACTCTGCTGAATTTTTTTAATGGGGTACGACAGCCATAAAACGCCCTGTTACATAAAATGAAAGAGAATGCTTTTTGTCTTTCTAATCGAGTATCATGACATATTTACTAAACGCACTAATCGCAGTTAACCGATGCGCAATATTAAACTACGCGTAATATTAGACGACGTGTCATCATTCGATCTTAACGCCTGATGTAGACTATCAGTATTATTGCAGCCAAAAAGATGGGTACAGTGTTTTTTAGAATATAAAAGACTTGAAGAAATCGACGTTTAGCCAGACATCCAAGCACAAAATTTTCACAAGATATTCGTTGATGACAGAAATGACGAAATCAACCCTTCTGGGTGGAGAGGTAAAGGAAATTAAAAGAAACATGAAGTTCCCGTTAAGAGAAATTCCAGGAACCCGAAAAGGCACGCCAAACAACTAAAGTGGCTCACTTCAAATCGCATGCTTCTTATTTCAAAAGCACACAAGGCCTATAGAGTTCAAACTAGAAGTAGTGTACGTTATTCTTCGGGCAAGTTGCACAAAAATAACAGTCCAAAAATTTGATATTATTTACTTTCCTTAGTTAGCTATAAGCTCGACCTCCTCATGTTCCTAGTCACCTGACTTGCGTAAAAGAGTATTGCTGTCTCGTGAGTACTCTCATAATTCGATGTGGAAGTTACACAGTTACAAACAGTAACGTTTTTTTTCACGTTATGAGAGGGTTTAGCCACTGCTTACGGGAACGGATTGAAAGAAAATTAATTTCGAGCTACGCATCTACAGAATAAATCAAAATTGATGAGTGGATATCGGTGAGTCAAAGATCTAGCGATTGCATCACTGAAAGTAGTTATGAAAAATTATGATAAAAAATTTTGTTATGAAAAAATCAACTAACTAGTACAACTGCTTCTGGTTCCGTAGTTTCACCCACTGCATCTGATCCTTCCAATTCTGCTTCAGCCTCTTATATTAAGATTAGCCTTTTAATTTCATGCATTTTTTCATAGAATTTCCTCGAACTTTAGAAAAGCTCTTTGTCCATTAGCACTCTCTTAATCCTGCAGAAAAAGAGTGAAACACAGATATGATCTATGCGGTCTGAGTACTTTGGGAGTATTTACGTTGGCTGCGCCAAGCTTTTTCCATGGTTCGTATCCAAAACAGCTGATCAACAATCCTATTAAATACGAGTCAATCAGCAGACTGACACTTCAATATACTGACATATTTTTAAGAGACGAGTCGCCAACGGTAGCATCCAAAAATACTAGAAAGGTCTATCGCCAAGAGTTTCACAACACTACTTGAAATGCACTCTCGTTCTTACGATGTCCGCAATGGCGGATCTGTGGGAGGAGCCCGGGGGGGGCCACCCCCTCCTCCCCCTTATTTTGTTAAAAAAAAAAGAATCGCAGAAATCAGAAAAGCCGGTAAGGTAAGCGAAAAAAACAGGACCCCCCCTCTTCTAGGGAGACTAAAGTGTCTAGTGTAAATGACTTTGGCGCCAATGTTTTTAATCTCCCTAATCATTCAAAAAAAGATATGGCTGTTTGCCGCCTTACCTTACATTTAGGTAGTTCGGAAAGCCGCAAAACACTAGAACAAAAATTTATCTTCCAAATCGGCACTCTTAACCCCAACGTTACCAACGAGCGCTTTTCATTCCACTAATTTATTCCTGTTTTCTCGTCACCATATTCCCACCAATAGCGTAGCTCCACTTTCCGCATATAAACCCACACTCAACCCACAATTCCTCCAATCACTCTGACGAAGGGCTAACGCTCCCTTACCCTTACCCTTACCCTTTACGGTAACCAATTTACGTTTTCAACTCAGTTGTTAACACTGAATTACCTACTATACTCTCCCACCGACGCAGCACCACAGTTTTGTAATCGTTTGGTAATTGGCAAGCTTAACGAAAACGTCCAACTGCCTTCGGTTACTCTTTTGAACTCTGGAAAAAGTTGCCTTTCAAAATTTCTCCATGAATGATTCTTTTTAACAAAATTAAAAAATACTGCCTTAAGGCTGACTGTGTGAGCTGGATTTCCGCTCTCAGTTTTTCTCTCAAAATTGTGTAAAATTTTGGTTGTATAATAAATCCTTCAGTGTATGATAGCTTAGCACTTTTTCAGCGTTTTTTCTTTTTTTGTCGACCTCAAATTCTGCTCTTCGAAGAAAAGAATTTTCTGAGTTTCATGATCCGGCTATCACAGGACAAATTTTGTTTTTTTGCGCGCGCAATCCTGACATGATCGTTGGATGTTTATCGTCTTCTGCTGTCTTCCGTATTGGTAAGACAAGAATGAAGTCAACTGTGTATCGAGTGCGAATGTCGAACTACTAAGATACTCCGAAATTAACAGTAAGTAGTACTGGGAAACATCGGCTCAAAATTGGGCAAGATCGGAATCCTACTGTAACACTCACTCACTCATCTCAACAACATATGTAGCTTAGCCTCCTGTAGGAGGCAATAGCCACAAAAAATATATACATATAAATATATATCGTCTAGTTTTCAAGACAATACAGCGTGCTAGCTCGGAGACTAATTCTACTATCTCAAGAAAGACGTTGGTCTCCGACTTATAAAGGTGACACTTAGCTAGTGAATCATACCGAGTTTCGTGAAGGAGTTCCCGCATACAAACGACCCTCTACCTAAAAATTTCATACTTCTGCGGTTAAGATCGGGCAAAACAAAAACAAGATCGGTAAGATAATTATTATAAAGGACCCATTGCGTAAATTAGAATCACACTTAGAAAAATGAGTAACGAGAAAAAAGGTTTTTTTTTTAACTGAATGGCTTATGCTAGTATACTATTTACATTCCCTTTCCAATACTTAAATAAGTTTTAAAAAAAACCTCTGCAGAAAAGTCTTGCTTGATGCTAATTTTGTCTTCTAACAACATTTCTTTCCAAGTATACAGGCACTATAGAATGATTACAGAGAGTCTTCGATTCATTTCGTTCGGTAAACAGGTCGAATTTAAGAATTCTGAAGAAGGCAAAAAGGGGGTGTGATCATGTACTCGAATATTATTTTCTAAAAGCATTCATTCAAATAGACCCAAATATCAAAGCACGCTTGTATAAGATCGGCAGAGCATCTACTGCCAGCAGTTTGACTTCAAAGAGTGAGAATCCACAATTCTCCTAATTCTTGTCTTAGGAATCATGCATTTACTGTATTAGGCAAAAGCCCTTATAGCAGCACTGAATTTTGACTTCGGATGATCTCAGGCCCTTTCATAACAAAATGGACTAAAGAAAGATTCCACGCAGAGTAAATAATGCTGAATACGATTTGATATAATCATGTGCACGCGAATTGTCTTTCAGAAACGGAGTTACACACAAGAGCCTCGCGTGGCAAATTCAACTTTCTCTTTTACTAATTATGATGTCAGATATTACAATGTTCAACATATCAGAATATTCACGTTTGGTCGATCAGCTTACCCGATCCTGCGTTGGGAACTGCCAAATATTACTCGTTTCCCCTTAAGCTTGGTGATCAAGGCTTTTTGGGAATGTTGTTCAGTCGTAAAATCAGTTTCTAAAGAGTTGCTGCAGTTAACTCTGGGGTCTATGTGTCTACGTAGCTCTATGAATCTTGGCGGCGTTAACCTTTTGAAAAAACTTTTTTCATGTGTCGGGAGACATTTAATGTACTTTTGATTAAAATGCTGTATGATAGAAAATTGATCCATTTGGAATGGATATGCCTCGAGGCTACATGATTTACGTTCATGATCTTACTACTACGCTGGATGCGTGAAAAGTTCTGCCGTGGAGCAAAGTTCCAGCACAAATAACTTACAATAGGAGCTTTCATACTTTGGAAAATAAAGTAAACATATCCAGCCAATGCAGTATGAAGGTCTTACTACGTTCTAATTGCCCTAGTTGATATGCCGTGGCAACCGAACCCCCATAATACCGCGTAAATTGGATTTAAAACTTTTCGAATACAGTTGACACGTTTAAAACATGGTACTGAATAGCTTTTTTTGAAAGTGAAATATTTTGATTTTATATACAATGTTACAAATTCTGTATTTATTACGCTGCAGTTTCCGACATTTAAAGATCCTGATTCTATAGACTCTTTATGTTAAATAGATGTGAAAAATGACAAAAGACAATATGCCTGATAGATGTGGAAGACGCGTGCCATGATAATGCTCTCTCATCATCGATGCAAAAGCATATTCTGCATATTCTGGAATCGATTGTAACTCTGTTCATGACTTAGCAACAAGCACTGACATTGATTTTCGAATATCACTTCCAAATCGCGTGCACTCACATAGGCACCTTGGTATGAGATCGGCAAGGAATCTTTTGCGGCAGCTTGACTTCCAAGAGCGAGAATTAACAACTCTTAAATTAAAAATTACGCAGTTGTTGCTGTATTCAGTAATGAAAAGACCCGTATAGCAGCACTGAATTTGGTGCAGAGATGATCTCAAACTCTTCGACGCAAAATGATCTCAGGGGTCAAATATTTTCTCAAAACAAAAACACCACCACATTTTAAACACTTATGCAGTAATTTTACTGCATGTGTATCGCACAATTTTTAACGAACAGAAATAGAGGTTGTATAACAGAAATAGTAAGTGAACGTATCCAGCCAATGCAGTATGAAGGTCTTATTACGTTCTTATTGCTTCAATTATGCCGCCATAACCTGCCGCCATTGTTTTTGCGTGATAGCACTTCAAATCTTGTTGAATGGAACAAAAATGTGTATAGCACAATTTTTAACGTATTGAACAGAAATAAAAGTTGTATAGCAGAAATAGAGGTTGTGCAACAGAAAACCTGCCGCATCACACATACTTATGAGTACTCCGTCCCACAAAAGAAGGATGATTCAATAATATATTGTCTAATTGACATTCAAACAATAATTAAATTGTGAAAAAAAAAATTAACGATGATAATAAAAATAACGATAGTAATAAAATAATAATTGAAAGTGTCTATGACGCGAAATTTCTTTTCGCGTTTTCTGGTAATAGCTGTATTTAAGATTTGAAATAATCGAACTAAGCGCTCGGCGAGTTCTCCTAGAAAACTGTGAAGACACGTCGGCAACTTTGGCGAAGAAAGGAGAAATCAAGAAGAGGGGAAGAACGTATTGTTTGGACGGAACGCCAAATGATGTTATGGTAATTAGGCCACGTTACGTGGAACAGTTCCCGCATACTAAGTATGTACCTTCGGTTTGTTGACTCTTTCCAAAACGCCTTTCTACCTAAAATTACATACTTTTGCGGTTTAGATCGGGCAAAACAAAAAAAGATTGGTAGTATAAAAATTACAAAGGACTCATTGCGTAAATTAGATTTACACTTAGAAAGATAACTAAATGGAAAATAGCCCTTGAAGTTTGTTAGATGAAAACAGGATAAACAGGGAATTCGAGGAAGAAAGGGCGTACCCAAATGCAATTCATATAAGTCAACTTATTCTAAATTCAGTGCGGAATGTGAACAGTACGAGTTGTTTACACCTTTAGTCACCTTACAAAAAGAGGTGCGAATGGCTATCCGGAGCGGCGTTCGGCATGAGTGCATTGTACCGCATAAGCGTAACTTGATATTTGCCTGCATCAACGACTGAATTCCTAGTCTAGCTGCGCCCTAAATCTTGAAGTTCTAAGTAGCATTTTTTGATTGGAAAAAGTGCATTATACATCTTTTGTTTTTCGCGGATTATGTTTTAAGAAATGGACAAGTGTTCCCTTTTAAAGTTCGAGACGCTTACCTTTCCCGATCCTGCTCTAAACGTCTTACGGGAAAGCATTGGGAGCCATTAGATATGACTCACCTCTCTTAAGCTTGCTATGAAATCCTTTCAGAATCAGCGTTGGAAGCTATGGCGTAGTTTGATCAATGACTGCCGGTGTCTTTCGTGTTTTACTTTCTTATTGACCAAATAAGCTCAACACCTGTCGATGACGTGATCTCTGTCTGCTTATCATGCTGCTTGGTTCAATGATTCAAAAAGAGTACCTTTTCATTGGAAGGTCTTATTACGTTCTTATTGCTCCAGTTAATAGCCATGGCAACCGAGCTCCATTATGCTGCGAAATCCATCTACGGAATTCGAGCGATTGTATGATTTATTAATACGATTTAATGTGATTCTGCTTCAACTAAAGAAACGATTAAATTTTACTCCAGTCGTTGTTTCGAAAATTCGACCTCTCCTCGTAAAATTGGAAAGTAAACCAAAGTAAAGTTAAAACGTTTATAACACAGACCTGAATATCTTTTTAAGAAAGTGGAAGATTTTGATTTTACATGCGATGTTACAAATTCTGCTTATGATACGCTGCCGTTTCCAACAGTTAAAGATCCTGCTTCTAGAGACTCTTTATGTCAAATAGATATGAAAAATTACAAAAGACAATATGCCTAATAGTTGTGGAAAACGCGTGCCATGATAGTGATCTCTACATTACCAACATAGTTTTTCAGTATTTTAAAAGGAGGAGAGACACGATGCAGTCACCTTGTGATAGCAAAGGAATGAGACTAACTGCATGCATCTTTTAAAGAGGCAATGATTGAGGTGCATCATCGATGCAGAAGCACATTCTGGAATCGATTGCAGCTGTGATCGTGACTTAGCAGGTTTCATAGATCAGTGGGGAACGGTCAAAATCAAGAAACGTGCGGCTCAATTTTAGAGTCCTTAATGACCCATCTACAAAGATAGCATACAATGTGAAAGTAAACACGAGGTTTAAAGTCTCAAAACGATAATCAACAAATTTCTCAGGATATAATTACACATATCAAGAAAACATCAAAGGTTGAGGCTCTTAGTAGAGACTGAACCCATAAGAGCCAAGGAATTATATTTCTCTGAGGCACTATCTAAAGTAGAAAAGGGACTTGGCCTCTTCAACTCAAAGTGGGCCTACAATGCAATAAAAGCCCTAAAAAGCCTTACAACCACTGTAAAAAAAAAAAAATTCAAGACACAGAGATTCTACTACTGAATGATATTCAAGACAGAACATTGTTCCTCACCCCGCTGTTTTTCTATTTTGTTTAGTGAGTTAAAAATAGAGCACCGACTGAGCCTTTTCCAATTTTTTTTTCTTCATCAGAAATTTTTCGAGTTAAGGACATTAAATTGTTAAGATCGATACCTAATTCATATACAAGGAACAGCCTGAGAGTCTGATTAAGGAGATTTGAATGGAATCTACGGGTAATGGTAAACATTTACTGTTTTACATTTCACTGTGTGAGACAGCTACAGCCATAGTGTTTGGGTTCCACTATTATGGCTGCAAATATAGCCTCTCTCTTGGACTTATATTTATACAGACTATCTTCCTTAAAAAGAATCAAGGGAATTATTTTCATTTTCGGTGTTAATAATAACGAGGGTTAGTGGAACTCAAATTATTATTGATGTGGCGCTTGCAAGTCTGGATAGTTGACTGTTTCACTTTCTTCGCCAGTGAATATCATATAAAATTTTGCCCATCACTCTTTCTATTTATTGGTATGCACAATGGACCAAGCACCAAGGACCACGTGAAAAGTTATAGCTTTCAACTGTTTTTGACAAGTAAGGTCATGAATAGTAGTTTTGATTTATCGCAAAGGAGAAGGAGAACGAATTTGACTCCAGATTAGATCAAAACAGACAAAATAATTAAAGGATCGGCAGTGATCGTCCTGTTGATATTTATGAAAATCGCTGCGAACACTCTGACTTGTTCTATCATTTGCAAAAGGTCAAGGTTACTTGTACAGCTACCAACATTTCCATCACATTCCTGTCTGTAAGCGATATTTTAACGGCCTGTTTGGTCATGGCTTTCTCTCAGGTGTTGTTAATCAAAGGAATTTGGTTATTTTCTTTAAAATACAATATTTTCTTAACGGCTATTTATTTGGCGTGTCACTTATCATAATGGCTTGCACATCAGTAATCCGTACATGCACGTCGTGAAACCAACAATACCAGTGGAGAATCTAGGGGAGGAGTCCGAGCGGCCCAGGGCCCCCCTTATCTTGGGTGAAAAAAAAAGAATCTCAGAAGGAAGAAGATCCGGCAAGCGGCGAAATACCACCCCCTCAACCTTGAGCTAAGGGGGGAGGGGGGTGTTCCGCTGGATCCGATCAGCGATGCATGAGGCCTATTGGGACACTTTTGATATAGATTAGATTGTGTATTTTACGAGCAATTTTCATTTCCATGACAACGTCGGATCTTGTGAACGTAAACGAACAGTCTGTTTCTAAATATGTAGGGTATAAGTTAGTGCTTTTGAAGCGAACTAATCTACCTCATTGCCTTCACTACCAGCCGCATCTATTATTTTCTTGGCATATTTTAAATTGTTCCGGTATCTCCGACATCACAACCAATTCCAGAATTGAAACAATGAAATAATTTGTGCAGAGACGCAAAAGTTTCCAGGACACTTATGACTGAAGTCTTGGGTTTCGTAGTTTGCTAGGCGCCGGTAATGGTCATCCAGCTGATCCATTTGTTTGCAGAATCCAGATTTAATCTACTAAAGAAATCTATTTTGAAGTCTCTTTCAATGGACTCAAACAAACAGTTTAGGAAGGAATATATCGACCTGCTACAAGTTACTTGTCCTTCATCCCTACAGTTTACCCCAGTTGCAACATAGAGCTAGTGGCTCAAATATGTTTCTAATGTATCTAATGAGATGTATATCTTATCCATAAATGAGAAAATTAAAGGAACTTCAGAATCGGAGAGAGTTTGTGATGTACGGTAGATCCTTTGCTTGATAGTTTTGGGCACGACATGTGGGTGGAGCTTAAAAAAGCTCAAATCATCACATATCTGTTGTTTCAATATCAGCTATCACTGTAATCTAGGCTGATCTCGAGCGTTAATACTGACGATTGCCTATTTTTCGTAACCATGACTCACGATAGACTCAGCAAGAAGTGACAATAACGCTTGTCGTGCAGTTATATTTAAGACAGATAAAACCCTTTGTTCCAATTAAATTTTCCTTGCACGCAGAGGGTTACTTCCGTTTTTCTAAATAAAAATTAAGTAGAAATTTTTTTCTATTATTTACTTTTTTTACTTTATCCAAACAACAACTGAACGACCACTAACTGCATCATATCTTGCTCATCGTTTAATTGAGGAATGGAACTAAAATAATATCTGCGAACGAAGGCACATTTAAAGTCCACAGGAACCTAATTGCATTTTCCTAACTAGTCACGTACACATTTCAAATTGCCAGCTATATTTCTAATTTTTGAGATATTTTGTGTTCAGTTAAAACTTGCAGAAGAGTAAAAAAGGCTAAGTTCAAGGATACTGTGACAAGGACGAAGCTGGTATGGCTTTCGAAAATCGATCATTTGCAACCCGCGTTTTGAGCGGGAAATCAAACTGATGAGGTTGTAATTGAACAGTACTTCTCAATAATTTGCAATTTCTGATCAACTTGCAAAGCACTAATACCGCATTGCTAAGGCTCTTTCAACCGGAGGAAATTATTATAATTTATGTTCGTGGTGGAAGAGTTTTGAGTTAAACTAGACTGGAAAGAAAGAAACAGAGTGACTGAAAGAAAGCAAGAAGTGAAAGGCGTAAAGGGAGCTAGAAAGGACGCAAAAATAAGCAGAATACGACGAGGGGAACGCGAAAGAGAACCAGAAAAGGCGTTAAGTAAATAGGCGAATATCCATCGGCGCAGAGCAATATCGGAAGGAAATACAAAAAGCTCTAGAAAACAGACTAAAAGGAGGTCATCAACAGGAGAAACGAACTACAATGGATCCGAGAAAGAAGAGGAGGTCTTATCTGGGTTTTTACTTTTTACGTCAGGGCCCGGAAAATTTAAATCTTCTTTACCATTTGTCGATTGATACTAGTTTCCGTTTATTATTCAAATCACGTTTCAGTAAAATTTTGGCATTCATTCCTTTAAAACCTTCGCGCCGGTTCATCGCTCGAATAACATTTTAAAGTGTTAGTAGTCTTCAAGTTATTTCTTGTCCTGTTGTTTAGAGTGTTTAATTCAGTCGTGCTGTTGAGGGAAAATAAGTTATCTTACAGATTTTTTTTGCCTAAGTTTTGGAAGTTTCCAAATGATAGCGAACGACATGAGCAGGTTTCTATCATTCCCTCTTCAGTTAAGTATCGCAGGGCTAACTATATTCATTAAAAAAACGCGCTTTGTCCAAGATGTGTTGTTTTACCCTAAGAGTGAAGTAATGGTCTTTCTGTAAATTGAAACGAAATGAGATTGAGTGAGCGATGTTCATGTTTACGTTAAGTCTGACGCGGTAATTTTATTTTGACAATATGTGAGAACCCGTCAAACATCGGAGAATTAAATTACGGACCGCAAAGGTTGTGCTTAAATCCTACCGGCTAAAGGTACGCCCGAGGAGCACCAGTGACGAGTTCCCGAGTCGATTAATTATCGGAAATTATCGGCTCTTCCAATATAGCGGACTATTCCTGTAATACCAACACTCAAGCGACGTAAGTGAACCAGACATGAATATTATTGCATTCTTTACATGTGATGATACCGTTGTAGAGTTTAAATCAAGGAGGTTTCGCTAAATTCTGTTTGAGAGTTTCCTTCACCCTCGTCGATCTCAAGTTTCTCGTTAAGCTGAGGTTTAGCTTAACACTACAGCCGCCAAGACCTACGCTTGCAGAGGGAAACAAAACTTATCAATAGTATCACCACTATAATGCCCTTGTCACAGTGCTACTGGTTAGAAAGATCCCTAAGATAAAATTCTCATTGTCCTAGACCTCTAGCTGGTAGGATATCAGGAGGGTTAGAAAATTACCACCGGCTAGAGATACAGATTGCATATTTA